ATCGGGCCCCTGGAGGCTGCCAGCTCCAGGCTCTTAAAGTGGCAGGCACACACAGTGCACTGCCACACACCTCCCCCCTTAAATCATCGCTGCCCCCTCACACTGGGGCGCCTCCTCGCTGCCCCCTCACACTGGAGCGCCTCCTCGCTGCCCCCTCACACTGGGGCCGGGGTCCATATACCCCGCACGCAACCCACTGGTTGCACCTATCATCGCCCCCTTCCTGGGGCCGGGTTCTATACCCCCTGTATGCAACCCACCGGTTGCAAGTGGCAGGCACGCACAGTGCACTGCCGCAACTTGAATGAACATGACGCAACTCTGGCTAGGGAATTCCCAAAGAGAATCAAGTGGATCAGCCAGTCAGAGCCTAGGAAGCAGATTGAGAAACCTGACACCACCCCCTCCTCCTCCCAGATAGATAGGAATGGACGATTCCTATCCATACAGCTCATTGCATCACGACCATTGCAGACTTATCACAACATGCTGAAGATGCTGGAGAAGAAAAGATGTAGTTGGGTTTCTATGAAGAAAAGTGTTGAATGAGCTGAGTTCCAGCCTGCAATTCCTGTGGGTAACACTTGGCAGGGGGCTCTAGTGTGAGCAGGCCTTATAAATAATTCTTATAAATAGTTTCATAAGCAGTACATCTATGTGCCCTTTACACCCCAGGGGCAGATTGCAGTCTGGGTCTGGCAGCAGAACCCAGAAACTGCTGTCTGATTTGTTCCCCATGACTTAATGTTTCATTTAATTGTGTGAGTGTTGACACCCAGCTTAATACTATAATTTTGTAACTATAGTACAAGTATAGCTGCAAGTGTGGCTGGTCGAGCCTGAGGAAAAAGACTAGCTCTGAGACAGCTTCAGGGAGAGAAGGTCCCAGGGTGGTCAAGGTGAAAGTCCTAGGGCAGATAGGGAGAAAGTCCCAGGGAGGACAAATTGGAGCCTAAGGAAGGACAAATGTTACTGGAATAGAACAGCAAAGAGTTTTTGTTTTGAAGCAGTCTTCTGTGTTTTGGGAGACATCAGTGCTGAAGAAAACACCCCTCTTCCCATGAGGTGACCAAAAATAAGGAGCTCTTGGAGGTGGGGGTGGTACAGATCATTGGGGAAGCCAGGGACTGAGAAAAGCCAGAGTCTCAAAGACAGAGACTTGCTACTAGTGAAGCCACACTAGGGTTGGCTTCAGGGGGTCATCTCAGGAGAGGAAGACTGAATAATGCTGCTTCTTGAGGAGTCCTGAGGAAAAGCTTTCCCCTTCCACTCAAAAGGGGAATTCATCCCCTGACAGCTGTTGGATTCAGGAAGATGGTCTCTTGTGAGACCCCTTTAAGATGTGGGGGAAAGCTTCAGTAGAATGTCTGAGATCAAAGTCTCAGAGGACTTAGATCTGTACATACTCGGTGCTCATACTGAAGGACATATATTCTGGTGGGCAGCACATTCCACACAGAACTGGAGATATGCTGCTCTGGTGGGGATACTACTGTTATTCCTAAAACACAGAAGTCTACACATATCATATTTACAGATGAAATGGACTGGGTGAGTTTGCAACTGGGTGAGTTTGGAGAGAGAGTCGGCCTGAAATCCATAAGATGACGTCCAGTAAAGACAAGTGCAGTGTTGCACCTAGGAAGAAATACTGTGATGCACAAGTTTAACATATGGAATCTACTATAAACACTAGCTCCTTTTCTGTAAACCAGATTTGCAGGAGGTTTACAGAAAAAGAGCTAGTGGTTATAGTAGATAGAAAATGACACAACACTGTCAAATCACTTCAAAAGATGTAAATGCTGTTCTGGGATGAATTAACAGAAGTGTAAGACACAGGAGGAAATTATTTTTTTCCACATGGCTCTAGTGAGGCCTCACTTGGAGGAAGGTGTCTAGTTTGGGACACTGCTTCAAGGAAGATGAACCTTTTGAGATAGTCTACAGGAGAGCAATATGACTAAGTGATTCATCAAATCTGGCTTATGAAGAAAGGTGGCAGGAACTGGGTTTGTTTAATCTACAAAAAAGAGCACTGAGAGGAGGCATGGTAACAGACTTTAAATATGTAAAAGCCTTGCATAAAGAGGGCAGCAGTCAATTACTTAGCATAGTCAGTGAAGGAAGGAGAGAGAGAGGTGTGAGTAATTGGCTTAATTTTCAGACAGGGAAACTTAAGTTAAATATCAGAAAGAAATATCTATGAGAGTGATCAAACAGTGGAACAGTTTATCCATGGATGCTGGAGATTTAAAGAACAGGTATGACAAACATCTGTTAGGGAGCACCTATTGTATTTGATCCTACCTTGCAGCAGTGGGGATGGACTAAAGGATCATTCAACTTTACCCTTCTTTCTATGAGGCAAAAACTTGCAATAAAGGGCTGAAAATAAGTCACGCATCACTGGGGAGAGGAATTTCTCTTCTTCAGGATATGAGTGGGGAGTTCCTGACACTGGTGGTTGTGGAAGGGCAGCCTGTGGCACTGAGGACATTCCTGGATTCCCATCACTGCCAAACCTTACAATCCTATGGAATCTGAGGTGCAGGCCAGCACCAGGGCCAATGGGGTTCACAGCTGTCTCCAAAGATGTCACATTCTGGTGGTGACCATGAGGTATCAAAGCTGAAGACACTCCCTGGAGTTGCCAAAACTCCAGTAAGTGTCTTTCAGCTTTTCCAGGAAGATTGCTGCCAGCACAGGATCAAGAGTCTCTCTTCTCTTCTTCTTTTGATTCATGGATTAAATCATAGGGGTTAGTCCCTACAGAGAGAAGCCAGATATGAACAGGCTGGCACCTACAGAAACCCCTTCTGGGGGCAGCAAGCCTAATGACATGGTTAAGAAAATGGTTTCTGAACCACAGGCCTGGTGGGTGTGGGCGTGGGTGTGAGTTTGGGTAGAGGATGAGCAGAGTCACAGGACTGGAAGTAGATTTACACAATAGGGCATCTACAGGGCCTGATGCTTCTTAAGACTCTGTGGGTTGCTAGGTGCCCCACCCTGCCCCAAACAAAGAAAGCAAATGACTCAGGCTTCCTTAAACTGCAACCATTTCCGATCATGAGGAAAGAGGATTTCCGGAATTATTTGACATTAAGCCTAGTAATGGAAAGAGCAACCCAAAGTCTGACCTCCCCCCACCCTATGTAGTTGACCCCTGCCTCCATCCAGTTACACTGTAATTCCATGTTGCACTGGTACAAATTCCCTACAGTCTCCACTAAAACTCCTAAAGCAAGTGCTGACACAGTACAAATAGGCTTTGACTGAGAAAGAGCCACAGTGACATGCTCATGACTGCAATGGGGATTCTCCATCACAGAAATCTGCGTTTGGAAGCTCACCCCTCACCTTTACCAGTAGACCCCTCCATTTGGTAACACTAGTCATGAACTGGCCTTGCTTGCCCCCTTTCTGAAGGCTCAGTGTGAAAATGGGAGCTGGGGAGGGGCATCATTTCTATTCCAATTTCCATCAAAGCACCCCTGAGAGAGGCAGGAAATAGAGAATAATATTCTCCAGCTCTTATAATAGTACTTGCCATCAGGAGATCTCCAAGTGCTTTACAAAGGAGATCAGTACCAGTAACCTCATTTTACTGATGGGGAAACCAAGGCACAGGAAGGAGATGTGAGTTGTCCAAAGTCAGCTGACCAGTGCAGCAGAAATAGGACTTGGCTTCATGAATCTTTAGCTAGGGTTTTAACCAGTTGACCACACTCCCCTCCTAAGAAAGTAAAATTACCCTGATGTTTAATTAAAAACTCAGCATTCATGTTAGGAAGTTAGGAACACTGACCCTGATTCTTAGTGGCTAAAAAAAATGTGAAAGCAGCAATAACAAAAAAAAAGAAAAAAAGAAGCCATAAATGAATATGTAATGGTGGGGAAAATGGAGACATTGATGGCAACAAATATACCAGAAAAACAGAACAGAAGTTAACAAGCTCAGGCAATTGATAAAGGGTCATTAAGAAAAAGACAATGAGATATCTGTGACCAAGTGCCATAAGTAAGATATAGGCTAATGACAGTCAGAAGGAATTTCCAAATCCATCAAGAACAGAGGGGAAGCTGCACTTTTAAAGATCC